CGGAGGACTTGTTCCCTGAATTTTTCCGCCCTTAAAAATTCGACGACCTCCGCCGGGTATTTGAACCCGCGTACTACGAGTCATGAGGTGGGAACGTTACCTCTAGACTACGGAGGCCGCTGTAAGTACCATTAAGATAAAAACTATTATTTTAAACTTTTTTTCAGTACTTCGAAAATAGGCCTGTAACAAGAGGTAACTATGTCTGCCTGCTTTCCCTTTCTTTATACATGTCTGCCACCGCTATAAATTGTTTTGTATCCTCTGTTCACGTTTTATTTTCTTTGCGGTACAACACTTCACATCCAATTCCCCCAGATAGATTGTAAAAAGCAGGAAAATTAATTTCTGCTTATTTTAGTTGCCGCTGTCCTAGCGTAATCAGTACAGCGACTGGCTACGAGCTGAACGACCAAGGGTTCCGGGTTCGAGTCCCAGTAGGGTCAAGAATTTTCTCTTCTATACGTCGTCCAGATCGGCGCTGGGGCCCACCCAGTTTCCTATCCAGTGGGTATATGGATGGCCTTTTTACCCGGGAGCAAAGCGGCAGGGGCAGACGCTGACTCCAACTAGTGCCGAGGTCAAGAAAATGTGGATCTATACAGCCACTCCCCCATACGCCTTCATGGTGTAGTGCTTAATTAGTTAAGCACAGGACTGACTTTACCTTTTAACAGCCCTTTCTGGTCTAGCATCCTATTCTAGGAGATAAGCCACTTGCGTATTATACTGTATGATGTACATTACACGTAGATGTGTTCTACGTAAGCGTGTGGGGTTTAGATTTAAGATGCAGGTGAAAATGTAAAACAGAAATCTAGAAAGAAATTAAGAAAGTCGCAAGGAAATTTACATCTAGCGAAATTATTTACCGAACTCGCGACCACTGTATGCAACTACAGGTTGTCGGTGACCCAGAACTGCGGGAATTCCCGTTCCGGCCCCAGTCCAGCAATTAAAGACGCACTACTGAGGCCACAAATCTTCATTGAAGGCTACAGCTGTTCCACGGAAAGAATAAGAAATTATTACTTTGTATTTTTAAAACTGTTGCATCCGTGACTGCTGTACTGGGACATAGTTTTTGCCTCTCTCAGCTATGGAACTCGTCCTTTTGCTTCCGGAGGTAAGTGTGTCTTAAGAATGCCTTACGCAATGTACTGCCTCAGTGCTTTCCATTAGGCTATGCGTGTCTCGTTTTGATGCTTCTTTTTATACATTTTTCGGGGTTATTCTTAAGTTCTCTAAGATATGAACACACTTCCGAAATTTTGACCAGATTTGTCTTTTTCATCTGATAATAACTGTCTTAAATATAAAACCAAATATCAGATCTAGCTCTGACGTGATGGTTCTCTCAAGAAAAGATAATAGGCAGTTGTAAGTATTATGGATGCCGGTCACGGTAGCCGAGCGGTCTAAGGCATGCACCGTCTTCGCTCGCTCGGAAGCCGGGATCGTGGGTTCGAATCCCACTCAGGGCATGGATGTTTGTGTGCGTTTT